CCATCTTTGCTTCTTCCTGAGGGGCTGCGGGGCTCCATTCAAGTGTGCAGCTGCTTCCCGGTCTGGGTTGCCGCACTGGTGGGATCCCGGGGCTTTTGTTCATTTGTTCCTTTGCTTCCCGCAGCCACGGTCTCTTGACCAGGAGGTGCTGGCTGCTTGGATTCCACACACCCAAGCGGGCAGCTCTATGGGTGCCATTTGTTAGCTGCTAGTGTTGCTTTTTTTTTCTGCTTCTTTTGATTTCTCACTTGCCTCTCGCCACCTCCCCCTCCTTTCACTCTAGTGCCTGGCTCCGTGTGCCATCTTTGCTTCTTCCTGAGGGGCTCCAGAGCGCTGGCAATTTGTGATATACGCTTTCCCACTCTCCACACTTCTTCACCCACGCTCGGCCTCCTCTGCTTCCCGTGGACACAGTCTCTTGTCCAGAAACACCAGCCCGCACTGGCTGGCTCTCTGAGTCCCATTTGTTGGCTGCTGGTGTTGCTTTTTTTTTTTTTCCCCTGCTTCTTTTGATTCCTTGCTTGCCTCTCGCTGCCTCCCCCTCCTTTCACTCAAGTGTCTGGCTCCGTGCGCCATCTTTACTTTCTCCTGACGAGCTGCGGAGCTCCATTCGAGTGTGGAGCTGCTTCCTGGTCTGGGCTACCGTGCTGCTGAGATCCCGGGGCTCTTGTTCGTTTGTTCCTTTTGAATTGTTTGTTTGTTTTCTTTTCCTTTTCTTGAGTTGGGAGCCCTTTCTGGTCAGGCGGAGCTGCGTGGCAAGGAACTCCCCTTTGGCTTCCACAGATGTGCAGAGGGATCCCTGAGGACATTTCTTTTTTTGTTGGTTTCTTTTTTTTCCTGTTATTTTGGGGGGCATTTCTTGTTCTTTTTTTTCGTTTTTTTTTTATTTGTTTTGTTTTCTTTTCCCTCTTTTTCCCTTTTTGTCTTTCTTCATTGCTCAGTTTCTCGTCTCTCTATATCTTCCTTCTCTTTCTGATCCCTGAATACCAGGTGTTGTATGCCTCTGTGCCTTCTGGCCAGGCTGTGCTGCGACACATGAGAGTGACTTCCCCAGACCTCATAGCTGCATCGGTGGGATCCCTGGGAACTTTGCGGTTCTTTAACCTTTCTGATTTTTATTTGTTCATTCTTTTCTTTTCTTCCTCTTCCCCTTTCTGTTTTTCTCCATTTCATAGTCTCTCATCTCTCCATTCCAACAGCAAGCTCCCCGAGCATTCTTTT